ATCCAACTTCATTTGCTGTTTATAAAAGGAAAACAAAGTTATTTGTGATAAGCAACTTCTAACAGAACATCCAATTTTTATGTTTGAAACTGAGATTCTTATATATCATAAAAATTTACAATTACTAGCATCCTATTAGTAACGTAGAGAGATAGATACTTTGACATTGGGACACTACAGGTTGCTTCGATAGATCTGTAAATAGCATTGCGTCTAAGTCATAAGTTGGTAAGGAGGACCTAACATCAGCACCAAATCAGGTGACAAAGCCCACAAACTGGATGTTTCGTCAACCCCAATACAATCTGCTTTCCCACATAGAACACTGGGTGGACAAGTAAAACGGAGGCCTATAGCTTCAATGAATCCTTTTAAATTGCATCTAGTTCACACACAAGTCGAGGGTTGCATTACTACACCACAGTTTTTGTCCTGAATTGGAGACACGAAGGCCAAGGATTCATATTTACCCTGAAGACCTCAACCAACACGAAGATGGCAGGAATAGGTTGCTAAAGCATTCATCACAGTTCCCATTTCTGATGTTTACACATGCTACCAGTGAAATTTTATGATTTTCCCATAAAATTAGTAATACTAAAATAGGTGAACAATACTGGAAAAATTAAGTTCATCTTCTTAGAAATAATAACTTGAATAATGACTATCTTTTAATAAGAATTCATGCCACATGCTGGATGAAATAGATAAAACAACCTGAAAATAAATCCAATCAAGCACCGAACAGAAAAGGAGAAGAGTATATATAGATTTTAATAAAAGTTCGTAAAATTAGAAAAAATGCTTATATAGTTTTTTACAAGATAAAACTAATTCATTGTTCTTGCAAACAAGTAGCAACAACTTCAATTTCACAAGAAGTATCAACCAATATGTCTACATAAGCCCTACAGTCAGTGAAAATGTTCCACAAGCATTACATACCTGCTCAGCTGGCCAATTATAAACCATAGACATCATTTCTCCACGATCTTAGATATCATAAAAATTTAGTTGGATGAAATACCTTTAAGCCTATTGTGATATGCAACAACCAGCAATAACAAATCTAGAAAACGCTACTTCTAACAGAACATCCAAACACAATTTACTCAAAACACAGATCAATTTTCATAATGCACACACCAATATTGATAATTTAATCCAAAAATAGCATTCAGTATACACTAGGATTGTGAATAAAATTAATATAATTAAATTTACCTTCACACTGTAATTTTCAGAAGTAACGATTCTGTTCAATTTACTTGAAGTAGATTGCACATTTAATAAATTTGGGGATTTTCGGAATCACACAAACCAAGGATATGGGCAATGAGGATGGAAATTTTAAGTTACAAATTGGGGATTTCTGAGCTGGGAAATCACACAGACCAGGATATGGGCAATGAGGATGAAAATTTTGAGTTACAAATTGGGGATTTCTGAATGTGGGAATCAAACAGACCAGTTGGGGATTTCTGAACTTGAGAATCACACAAACCAAGCGTACCTGGTTATATACAAAGCTTTCTGTTCAACACGTGAACTTGTCTGCTCCTAGCTTCAGACCTAGCCCACGGGTTTGTACCACTCCACTGTGCCATTTGACAAAACATTGAGTAAGTTATGCCTGATTAAGAATCTCATACCTCAAATTAGGTCTCAGAAGGTACCTAAGGCGAATCTCACAACCGAATATGCAAAAGACTTTAGTTGGCTTCTTTGAATAAGTTAGGGCTACCCTCAGTTAGGGGTGAGCTTAGGGGATAGCCAAAGCAAAGAAAAAAAATATGAGAGAAGAAGAATCATCACACACAGAAGATAGAGGAGATGCCTTCCACAGAGAAAAGAGAGAAGAGAGAAGAAGAGAGGAGAAAGCTCTCGTTCAGAAATAACAGAGAGAGGGCACCTGGGGGGAGTTCTATATTCGAATGAAAGTGGCTTTCATACATCCGATTCATTTGGTAAAGTGGATTTGTAGATTACGCTTTATATTTAAAAACATAATTTTAAAAATTCGATTATTCAACTAAAAGCGGGTTTCAAATATATGCTTTTAATTGTATGAGGATTCGTTTAAATGATGAATTCGTAATTTTATAAATTAAAAACTGCTGTATTCTGGTAAATATGTTTAAATTTGCCCTATATTGGTAATAGATTCTCGATTCGTGACCCTGTCCACTTTTTCGGCAGCGTTTGTTTGATTCTCAATTCCAAATATCTGACTGAACCTTAAAACTTTGAGAGTGAGTAGTTTAGTAGTAGTTGATCTGCCATTGTTGTTTTGCAAGCCTAGAACACATCGCAGAAGAAGTGAAATACAAGAAAACCGGCTATTCCTTTCCTTTTCAGTTTTCACTTTCCCTTTTCCTTTTTATGAAACAAATAATAAAAACAAAGTGGGCCTCCTATTTCTATAACAAATACTAATTAAAGCCTGACAACTGATAAATCCGGTCCCCAGTTTTTGCACTGGCTCGACTACCCGGTACGACAATAGGTTTGCATCACTCTTGCAATTGACCTATCTACTCTACCTCATCCTCGTAGATGTTTAGTTTCAATTCAATGTTAAAAAATATATTTGAGGACTCTATATTTATTCTTTAATTAAAAAAATTTATCACGTGTACAATTTTATAATATTATAAATTTTTATTATTTTACTTTGTTAATTAATAACTACACGACATCAAATTCAAAATTAATAATTAAAATTAATGGAGGTGCAATATCGAAATTAATACTATAACATTTAGATGATTGGACTAAACAATGTTGACCATGCCTTTACTTGATAAATTTTACTTACCAATATGCCTCGATATTTCTTTTTTACTTAAACCTTTTGATCAAAACACACACTCATTTTTTTGATAAACAAACTTTGGTAAAAACTTGGACTACAAGTCATTATGCTTTGCGTCATGTGTTTTTTTTTTGGTTTTTTTGCACTTTGTACTCCTAAAGATTTTAAAATTCTTACTTTACACTCTAAAAAATTAAAATTTTCATATTATATCATCAATGTATCAAAAATATTCAATGTGACATTTCTGTTAGTTTTTGTGTCAAAAATTAATACATGGACACTGATAGAAAACTAAAAAAAAGTAAATAGAAGGATCACATTATAACACTTTTGATATATTTAGGGTATAATATAAAAATTTTAATCTTTAAAGATGATGGACCATATTTTGTATCAATGGGGAGAGCCCCACATCCCGTGGGCGTATCATAATAAGGCTTAAAATTTATCTTCTCAAGACAACACAAAATTGGCAGTCTTGTTGATTGACCAATTGGAGTAAAACACAATTTTTAATATCTACAAAGATGAATATGTCAAGAATGTATCAATCCAACGAGTATGACCTCTCAACAGTAAGTAACTCTTCATTTTCTTTGTAAGAGATGGATGAAGACTTAAAGGTAGGAAAGCCTCAAGTATGGACATTTTGGCTCTATACTTCGCACACACTTTTTATCATTTTTTTCTAACTTTATACACTAGTATATTCATGTATTAATTGCAATACTGACTTAGGCATCGGAGGGGTCTCCCCTAGCACAAACATCGGGGTCCCTCTAAACTCTCTTCGATTTTGTAACTCACAGACCGAATGATATTTAAAGACCAGAGATGCACCTTTAACATTTTAGTGACTGTACGAATTTTTGCCCGCACAAAAGTTATAAAGCGAGAATCTTGGCCTTTTGTTTTTTTGAGAAATTAATTGTTCAAGTTTGAAATTTTATTAAGCAGTGTGATTGGAGTTTAATTTATTGACTTAATTTATTGTGACTTTTGAATTGATTGTAAACTCTATCAAATATTGGAACGTGATATTAATCCAATAATTCTTGTGAAATCACGTTAATATGTCAATAAATTAGATTAAAATTTTAAATTCAAATAACATTATTCAATTTAATTTTGAAATTATGGGTTTGTAGAGTTTATTTTGTGGTTGCTCAATAAAATATTATAAGAGCGAATAAACGTCAATTCAAAAAGTGCACCGCGACGCAGAAGATTAATTCCCTTTCAACGGTATTCTCGCGTCTGTCTCCAACTCCTGCATAAAGGCGCCACCCCACAAGCAAACATACACAATCAGAGAGTGTGTGGAGAGAGAGAGAGAGATAGAGAGAAAAGAGAAGAGGCTGGATAATTGGCCTGTGATCTAAAGCCGAAAGATTCTGTTTGGCGTCGAAAAAGTAATCGATGTCGGTTCAATAATCTCTCTGAAAGAATCAATCAATCTTTCTTTCTTTATATCTCATTGTGATATTATTTTTATTGTGATGTTTGTATACCTCTCGATCCCTGGATTTATCTATTTGGTTTCGATTCCTTCATTTTTTGGGGGGGTTAAAATCACCGGAAACGAAATTCCTTTTTCTTTGAAATGAATCCAATTGTTATTGTTTTCGAGAATTTATCACAAGAGACGAGACGGTACGTTTGGTTAATGGGAATTTAGCAAAGCATACACGAAACAAAATAAATTGAAATCTTCCTTATTCTTGTGTTTTTCTTGGGAAAATTTTATGTTTTAGATCACGATAAACGGGTAGTTTATGGCAAGAGAGGAGTCTTGACAGAAGACGGTACGTTTGGTTAATGGGCAAATATAGGAAATCGGACAACGAAACAAAATAAAGTGAAATTTGTTTGACTTTGGTTCCTTCCTTCTTTTTATGTTTTCTTTGGAAAATTTTGTGGTTAAAATCACGGGAAACGAGTTTCCTTTCTCTTTCTCTTTGGAATTGTTTCCGTTTGCTATTGTCTTCGATAATTTATCGCAAGAGACCAATCTTGACCGGAGACAGTTGGCCTGGTTAATCGGAAAATATAGGAAAATAGACTACGAAACAAAATAAAACAACGAAATTAGCAGTCATATCAGAAATGTGGTTTCGATTGCTTTAATTCTGTAGTAATTGACATTTGTTTTGCAGTGTTCTTTTTCTGCTTCGTTTCTTGAATGGATTCTTATTCTGGAACTTCTGAATCCGGATTTCTGCAATTGATGGTCGGTACTGCAGGACTTGCCAAAAGAATATCAACTGAAAAATCTGGGTAATGCTCTGTTGAATGACATCATAGTGTTTTAAAATGAGTTGGAATTCTGGAATGTAATTTCATTACGCAAACCCCGGCATGCCTTACAGATCCACTGGAAACTTTATGGATTTCTTCGAAGGTCTTACATATGAGCATGTGAATTTCATCTTCGCAGATCCTTCGTATGCTCAGGTGCATTATCTATTTTGATGTTCCTCTGTTCTGTTCTGTTCAAACATTTTGAAGTATATTACTCTATTATTTTATACCTTTTAATTTCTATATACGATACAATGTATAATAAAAAAAAATTCTTCTCCATCTTACTTTGGTCCATGTATATCCATGTGCGTGTTTTGCGTAGAAAGTAGATTTCATGGCTTTGCAATTATTGATTGCGCATAAAGTATTTTATTGCATCTTACAAATGCAGGAGAGTGCATACCCTTCAATGAATACCAGTTTGTACAAATTCGGGTTATCTGAACCTGGGAGTTTCTCGTACTATGATTATGGTCATGCTTATGTGGTAAATGATCATGCACGGGGAGTTGATGAATATAGTAGGGAGAGCACTCCAATACTGGTTGATCAGCAGACTGCAGCTTTACATGCACAATGTGAGGGAAATTCTAGTGCGACTTCACATGCGAATCCTGTGGAATGTAAGTTCTGAATATTATTTTTGTGATGAATTCCGAATGGATGGCTAAAGAATCACTTTAAAATACAATCTTCGTGATACGAAGTCTTTGGTATCCCTTGCATATTTTTCTAACCGTAAAGGATACTGCTCAATTTTAAAATTCAAATTTATCTGATAACACATCAGATTGATAGGATAAGGATCAATCCCCTTTTGTTTATCACATTGTTACAATTACTATATAAATGTAACTCTACCAATGTTATATGATTGAAGATTACATTCTGAAGTTTCAGTCCCTCTATGGTATGAGATCCTTAGGTCTAGACCTCTGAAATTTTCTTCCACACAGCCTGAGTCTTTTCACTGCCACTTCTGAACAAACATCTTCCCAGCTCAACACTCCGTTTCCCTCCCCATCACCACATACCAATACCCTCACAACCAAATTTCCTTCACTACACATTCCCATGCTAGATTTCTTCAACTTCGTATGGAGCTTCAAGCTCTCAAGAAGGACACCGACTTAGTACATAAGTATTTTCGGCGTCCAAGAACACTTACTCAACAGCTTGTAGCAAATGTAAGCCTAATTTCTGATGAACCTCGTCCAACTTGCGAATCTTAATATTTTCTTCGATGGACCGGGCATTGTGAAAACTGGCAATTTTTTGGGTTTGCCCTATTGCTCATATTGGGTCATTCTTTGTTCCAACCTCAGTTTTACATGTTCCTTTGGTTCAGCAAAACTTACTTCGTGTTCATAGATATTGCTATCGATAACAACTTTTGGTTCGAATTTCATCCATGGTATTTTTGCATGAAGAACCTATGGACAGATAATTTCTTCTTCAAGGACAGAGCATTAATGGGTTATATGAACTTCACTCAATAAAAATTCTTACTTCAACAATAAAGCTGTCCTACTCCATGTATCTTCCGTTTGGTGGCACAAGAGGCTTGGTCATCCAGCCTATATTGCACTGTTTATCTTGTGCCACAGAAATTTGGTCTTCCAACAAATAAAATTCAGAATATTTGTGCTGCATGTCAAAGGTTCATTTGGGGAAGTAATTTCATACCAAAGATTTAGATATTCTTCGATACTTTCTTGGGGTCGAGGTTGCTCGATCGAAAGAAGGTACCAGTTTATATCAACAAAAGTATGTATTGGATTTATTATCCAAGACTGGGACACTTGGTGAATGTCTAGTTGATGCTCCTATGGACTCTTCAGTTAAGTTAGATGCTAAGAGTGGTGGAGTTTTTGATGATATAGGGTGCTATAAGAGGTTGGTTGGTATTTTTATTTATTTTACTGTTACACGCCCTGACATTACCTATGATGTTGGTGTGGTTAATCAGTTTATGCACACTCCTTGTAAGCCTCATTGAGAGGCTATCTGTCGTATTCTTTGGTATCTAAAAGAAGCACGGCAAAAAGACTATTATATCATCCTTCATCATCTATGATTGTTACTTAGGAAGCACGAATATTTCTCATGGGGTGCTGTGGCAGTACCAGGCACATGTCCTACACGGATACGACCAAGACACGCCCGGACACGTGTCCGACACGGTTAGAAGTGTCCTGAATAATAAACTCAATCGGACACAGCCAGGACATGGCTATAATATCTCTAGGACACGTCTAGGATACGACCAAGAATTTTTTTATTAAAAAATCAACTTTTGTTAGTCAAAAAACAAACTCTCTCCCTATTACCACTAAAAATCTAACCCATTGAGAAAAGGATACAACCCTTGAGAAATGAATCTTCATGGATTTCGGCCAATATCCAGTTCTGCACTCGAACGGGTAATCACATTCTGTTTCTTGCTAAGCCAAGTAACAAGATTACCGCCAATAAATATACAGTAACATAAGATAGATCGTCTATCGATACGACTACCTAACCAAGTAGCATTAGAAAAGTCAGTAACAATCTAGGAAGCACGGATACAGACACGGGTGTCGTATCCGATATGATACGGACATGGGGATACGATAAAGTTAAAAAATATGGTATATAGGTACGGTAAGAATACGACAATTAAAATAATATAATATATTTTTTAAATAATAATAGAGTTGTAATATATTAAAAGTAAAGTATATATTATAATAATATTAATAATAAGACCTAGCAAATATTATTTTTTTAATTAAAATTAAAATTGATCAAATTAAATAGTAACATTCATATATATATGTTACGTAACAAAAAATATATTAAAAAAAGTAAATTTTTGAGAGAACTTTTGAATTGGAGAATCATTCTTTGCATGTTTATTCCTCGTTTCTATAGTCTTTCTCGCTTCCATAATCTCTCGTTTTGTTTAAATGATTAGGTCTTATTTTCATCTAGTGTCATTTGATTTTGGTTTTCGTAGAAGTCTTAATGACAGAAAATTGTGGAATTGGTCACACTTCTCTCTTTGCTCGGTGATATGACTTTACACAATGATTTTTTGGATAAACAGACTTGTTCTCTTGCAAATCCTTTTTTCCTTGATTGGTAATTCTTTCTAACCACTTTTTTTTTTCCATCTTTGAATATTTGGAAGGCTAAGTGCAAGTTTATTGTGTGTTAGGTTGCTCATGGCAAGAGTATCAGCAATAAGGGTACTCCAAAAGAGAAAACCTAATACATACCTTCACCCACAAAGGTGTGTTATTGTAGGAATGGTTGCGAGAACTAGATTATTCATTTTTGCATTGCTCGACTACTTGGTATTCATTAGAATAAGTTGTTTGAGATGGCTGGGCATTCTTGGGTGGCTCCAAGCTCCATACTATTTTTGTTTTGTTTGGACTTTGGTGGCTTTGGAAGGAAGAATAGCAGAGTTATTATTAGGGATTGTGCAATGTTTGCTATTATTCGGGAGATTTAGTTGGAAAAATAAACGAGAATTTTTTACAATAAGTGTGAGGTGCTTGAAGGATTATGTAATTGTATCTTTTTCATAGCATTTTTTTGGGCATCAGTATCGAAGGACATCGCAAAATGTGCCTCTTTTTAGAATTATGGAGAGTTGAACAGTTGTTTGTGAATGTTAAATAGCTGTAATGTTTATTTATCTGTTGCCTTTTTTTTTTTTTTTTCCAATACGGTTAGATGACTTCTCTACCTTAGCTTTTATATTGTACTACATCCACTTTTTTTATTTTATAATTAAAATCTTTGTTTCTTCTCAAAAAAGAAAACAAAGAATTAAGGTTAGTCGGTCATAGCTATTAGCGACTTTCTATTCCTTTTGTACTGTTGGTTTGAGGCATAAAATACCCTGCCTGAACCTTTATTGGTACTTTTAGTTCATTAGTATTAAGCTGTTCTACATGAAAGATAGTATTCTTGCCCCCACAAACAATAATTGACCTCTTGAAGTATTTTTAGCCTTTTAAGAGGACTAGTTGATGTATACGTGCGTTGCATGCACGCGAGTAACTTTGATGGGTCAACATCACGTGAACCTACATTACACTTGATCCTAATTTTTTTCTTGATCGATCTCCAATTCATTTAAATATTCTTCAACTAATTTCCCAAAACCATTAAGAAAACTCACTCAATGCTTTTATGGTCAGTGCTTCCTAGATTTGTTTAGCTTTCAAAACAGATCTAAGATTTGATAGCTAATTTCTGGTGTTTGTCAAATACAATTGGTTCAAAGAATTAAGGTTAGTCGGTCATATCTATTAGCGGCTTTCTATACCTTTTGTACTGTTGGTTTGAGGCATAAAATACCGTGCCTAAACCTTTATTGGTACTTTTAGTTCATTAGTATTAAGCTGTTCTACATGAAAGATAGTATTCCTGCCCCCACAAACAATGATTGACCTCTTGAAGTATTTTTAGCCTTTTAAGAGGACTAGTTGATGTATACGTGCGTTGCATGCGAATAACTTTGATGGGTCAACATCACGTGAACCTACATTACACTTGATCCTCATTTTTTTCTTGATCAATCTCCAATTCATTTAAATATTCTTCAATTAATTTCCCAAAACCATTAAGAAAACTCACTCAATGCTTTTATGGTCAATGCTTCCTAGATTTGTTTAGCTTTCAAAACAGATCTAAGATTTGATAGCTAATTTCTGGTGTTTGTCAAATACAATTGGTTCACAGAAATCACAGAAATCAAGCATACAAATTACCCTAGAATAATCCTAATTTCCAAAAAAAAATTGCATCAGCATCATTATTCAAGCACAATGGTGTTCTTATTTTGATTGAAAATTAAAAGCAAAGCGCGCTATTGCATTGACGGAGCCAGTAGTGGACGTCGGGGGCATGGGCCCAAACTTGAAAAAATTGTTACCTATATATATTTCATATAATTTTCGTATATTTTATGGTGTCCACCCTATCATTTTCTTGTTCTATCAAGTAATATAAACCAATATATAATAATCATTATGAACTTTCCAACACATATTGAACACTTTAAAGGCACATCTAGATAAGTGTTTTTGCATGCCGAATTCATTTTTTTTAAAGTTATTAAATTGTGAGAACTAAGTTGAATAACTAAAAGAGTGATTTGATTGTTTATACAGAGAGAAAGATTCTCCATAGTGTTAATAATGAAGTTCTTATTCAACGCTTTTAATATATGAAAACTCGTTGAGATTAATTATAGATAATTGTAATTAGCCTTTTTTTTTTTTTGCTTTTCTTTGTATACACTATATATATCAACGCTGGACTGTTTTGTATCTATTAAATCTTTAAGTATCAAATATATAGTTTTAATTTGTTGTTAATTTCTAGTTAAAGGGCCCACCCAGAATAAAATTTCTAGCTCCTTTCCTGACTATTGGATTGTCCTAAATTAACTCATCTTGAATCAATTTGTTGTCTTCAGTAAGTTCATGTTCCATTTTGAACTTAGTAGTAGACATTGATAGAAGGAGCCACGCTTATTCATTCCCACAAAACGTAGAATTTATTCATCCTTCCCCCACCCCCCCAAAAAAAAACACACAGACACACACGCAGCATTATGGGTCTATACTCTTTCAT